GGAACATAACCTAACCCAACCCCACCCCAATCCCCCCGTGCACATACAGCCCATTCCTCACTGTGGTTGCCTTCCACAAATGAGGGATGAGAAGGACATTTGGGTCATCGGCTTCCTCTGCCATGCTACTGTGATTTGTAGATTCTGTGAAATCATGGACTACCACCTCTGACGCTACATTTGCATAAAATGTATAGATATAAATAGAATGTAGAGATATTCCTTAAACAGGGCTGAGGAATGGGCTCAAGCTGTGTCTTGTGATCATACTTAACTGTGATCACTTCTTAACCATGATCATTCATGCTCCTGGACATAGTTTTGGCTTCTGCCAACCAGCACTCTCCCAGACCGTGCCTGGTCATGGCCCAAAGGACTATATGGACCACAGACCGTCCCTAGTTGGCAGTTTGTATGATTCTAATCTTTTCTGGGAGGAAAAGTTTAGCTATATGAATGTGACCCATGATCTGCCAGGTGGCCTCATGGGTCAGAAAATGCACCCTGGTCTGTTTTAAGCAGCAGCAGAGCCATGTCTTGAAAGGCTGCTTGACAAACCTGCAAGCTGTCCAAGTGACACGACAGTGTCTTTCACTATGGCCAAATCCTGATTCATCTCACCAAAATTTGTGTATCTAACAGGTAGGATTCTAAACTCCTACAGCAAATGGCCTAGAGAAAAAGACAACCATGTATCTGCTATACCCATGAATCACCCTTGTGAAATGCCTGTCTCTCTTGACTAAAAAGCTAGACAACTACTTAATGTTAGGCCCTTGGCTTTGAGACCCTTAAACGTAGGTAAGACTAATCCTACCTTTAGTGTCTCCAATGGGCTAGATCTACTGCAGTAGCTTCTTACCTCACTGGGAAGGCCAAGTTTCAGTTTTATCTGGACTAGATACATACATCATTCAGAATGCCCAAACGGTTTTGGTTGGTACTTAGTGTTAACTTAGTGCAGTTTTAAGCTACCACAGTGGCATTTGCTAACAAATGTCCTTGTGTATGCCTCTACGTAACAGCAGTATGTAACATCTTGTTCCCATCCGCATATGACATTACAACTATTTAGTCTGGTGTAGGAGACCCAAAAAGTAGCTATTCAATAGGGGACACCACAATCATCAAACCTATTTATCATTACCCATGCTGGCTGGGAAAAGTGCTGATTTTGGCTAAAAGAGGACAAATATCAGTACAAACCCATATTCCTTTGGATCATCATACACTCCTTAACTCTTGTTGGGAAATGGCTTCGGTTTGAGAAATTAAAGAGGTCAAAGCAGTATTTGTTCTTCCCCACATCAAACAAAGTGCAGTTAAATTCTGTCCTGTTGTCTCCTGGGTGAAGGGTGTTTTCATACAGCCAAGTTGTTCTTTGACTAGGATGCTTGAGAGCCTCTTTATAGACGACAATTTTTCCGCTGACAGAAGTGCATGGTGGAGAGACTACGAAGACCTGAACCAAAGTTTTGCACGTTGCTTCTGGTGCCACAACCAGTCTGTATCCAAATTTGTGGAGGAGATCTATGGGTCCTATGGAGGCAATGATGGAATGTGTTTCTAACGATTTCAGTAACACCGTGATGTATGTTTCTTGACCAACAGGTGGGCAATCAAACTCTACCCACTGGGACCTAGAGAGTGAGATTCCTTTGCTTGTTCTAATGCCCAGAGTCTCATTAGAGCTTACTCTTCCAAATTCATAAAGGGTGCTGGTGAATATCACATCCAGTGAAACCAATGTCTCATTCATGGCACACAACTGCTCATTTGTAAAAAGTCCAACCTGAAGGGAGCTCCCAAGCACCTCTGAACTCTTGTTCAAATCAATGTGAAATACAGGCCATTCCACACGGAGGGTGGACATGCTGCTTCTGCTCCACTGGGCAGCACTGCCGTTATCGCTGGGAGAGACCATTTTGAACAAGAAGTTCCCAGCACTCTTGAAATGGAAGCACTCAAACTCTACCATCCCCTGGGACTGATTTGCTGGAAGCTGCTTTCTTGCAATTATCTCGTTGGTGCTGGCATCCAGCAATACGATGGACAGATGCTCTGCTGTCACATTACCACCACTATAGTACTGATACTCCACAGACACTGTGTCATTGCTGAAGGCTACATGACCTGGGCGCTCCAACAGGAGATACTCCGCTTCGCCAAGAACTGAAAGGAAAACAGTTTCACAACAGTATTAGGAACCAAAGAGACAACTGATTGTTTATCTACCTTATGGAAGAAAACAAAGATTTATAAAGTGGCTATTTAAGAAGTGGTTCTCAAACTTTTTAAAGTGAATCAGTTCACACACACACAAAAAAAAGGGTCCTAATTATAGCAATTAAAGCTCACCACTTCTCCTTCGTGCAGGGACATGGTCTGGAGCAGCTCAAAGTCCACTGCAGTAACATGTTCAGGAAGGTTAAAAACAAGGTTGTAAAACAAAACAAAACAAAACAAAAATAAGCCCCCAAAAGATTCACAGAAAACTTAATTTATCAGGATAGATTCTCAAACTTCTCAACTTCTTTCACTTACAGATTCTTAAAGTCCACTTCACGGTGGCCAGCTGTTGTTCCACTTACTTCAGCTATAATTTAGCAAAAAAAGGACAGTAGTTTCTTAATACAGAAACATGAAAAATGTCCCTCAAATTAAATAAAATAGGAAGTCTGCATGATGCTTTTTGAAGCCTCTTCTCTTCCTCTGTCTTATGAATCTTTCATTTTGCTCATTTGCATCACAGAGACACTTGAGTGAAAGAGCTGAAAATAACAGTGATGGTGACTGCAGCACTTTTCTTGTCTCAGATGTGGTGCAACATGTCTAAACGACATCATTTCATTATAAATGGCGCAGTCTTTTTAAATGCACTTCTTGCATGACCATGTTTGTGCAAGTTGCCAAATTATCCTGAGACGTGCTGTAACTAGTGGGGATAGATGATATCTAAAGCAATGGATTGGGAAGATCACATTTCCATTCTCAGCTCAGCTAGCTTTTCTGCATTGCTTGAAACTTAAGCATTTCAGACATAGAAAGGTTATCTGAAAAATGGGAACTGCATACATCTATTCCAGATACAGAATGTGCTGTGAGACATCTTTATTTAATTCATTGTCTGGGAAAAGGCTTCTGAGTCTTGGATGGAAGGTGCTACGGAAGTGTAAAACTTCAGTTAAAGCAATCCTTTCATAAGTAGTATCAACTAACAGTACTTTGACTTGTTCAATCTGTTACACATGTCTTAAGATTACCTCAAAGAAAGCTTTGCTGGAAAAACACTGCAACTGCCAAGGTAAGCACTCAGCAGTCAGGAGTAGCAGGACTCATCTCACATAATATTAGACGACTACCACTCTAAGCTTCAATTTGAGTTAGTCACCTTGGATTCACTTTCTTGTCAGCAGGGAAGATTTTCAGGAAGAAATTCATCTGACCAGCTATAGACATGTACATCGGGGTGAGGTGCACCGTGCACTAAAAGAGCCTATTACTCTCCACCAGCTATAACATGCCCTTAAAATAACCAGCTCCAACCACATCCATAAAGTCTGAATGAAGGTGGCATGCACAGCCTTACACATATAAATCATGCGTATACTCTTACATGTATGTACTATTACTCAGTCTTTAATTTGCATTTCCACAAGACGCTGCTTCATTTGGCAGATGGATGGTGCTCGTTACCAGAGGGCTCTTGTGTTCTCATTCTTCCATGGGTGGGCCCACGTATTATTGACTGCACACCATCCAAAATCCATCCTGATAACACAGAATTATTCATTTCCCCCACAGACTCTTCTATTGTGCTCTTATCATAGTATATTAGTGCATTAGAAATATTAATGAGTTTATCCTTCCAATATCCCCAAAAGATGAGAGGATGTCACTGTTCTTGCTTAGTGTGTTAGGAACCAAGGCCCAGGCACAAAGGTGAAAACTGTCAAGTATCAACTAATTGTGGATGCCCTAAGAAACCCAGGACCTGATTTTAAATACACTGGTCCTTCAGACATCCAAAGCAGGATCCCATTGATCCCAGCTGTGGTGAGCACATGGCACCCCAGCAAACCTTATCTCCACTCAGACACTCAGAGAGTAGGAAACAGACGCTGAACGCCTGGGAAAAATGGCTCTCTATGAATTGCTCAGCAACACATTCTCCTTGCTCTTCACGTTTTGGTTCTGTCATCTGTACCTGCCCATATTTTCCAGTCCTGTTCCTACCATCACCTACAGTCAATATCTCTTGGATACTATCCTAACTCCATTACCGTTACCATGGTTCTCCAAACTCCTGGCCTTGTCTCTTTGCCTTATAGCCCTTCTACCTTCTCCTGTTCCTTGGGCCTGCAATTAACAGCTCCAGCAAGTTCCCACCTTTCTTGCTCACTGCTAGCATGACAGCAGAGATCACAGAACAAGCAACTCTAGTGCCCAATATTACAAATGTGGGGGAACTCTGCTGCCCTGGGCTGGAGCACGCACAGTACTGCACAGGGCTGGCAACAGGAGCCAGCAGGAGTTGGGGCACACTCGACCCTTCAGAGAACTTCATCACTAACTCACCTGCAAGGACTTAGATCTGGACCAAGCCTGGGCAAATCTTCATAAGGACAGCAGAAAGCATGTCCCAGGCCACCGTGAGCACTCTAACAAACATGAAGTTCCCACAGCTGTGTTAGAGTTTCCCACTGAAATGGTTGCAAGTTGCTGGGTTTTTGTTCCTTTGAACATGGACAAAATGATGCATTTCTCTACAAAGAAATTGGCTAGATTCAACTTAGTTGAAACATTATAAGGGAAAAAGAAATCAGACCATGGCAAAAACCCAGCATAAGAAATTTCAACATCAAGCTTTAAACTTACAGCAAAAACGTTCAGGTCATAGTTATGAAAAGCATTGATGTTTGTACCTACTGCTCTACTGTCCTTACTCTCTTTTAGAACTGTCTTGACTCTTGCACTATTTTTATTTGGAATGGCTCAGACGAGAAGAATTAACATCACTGTGTACGTGTGTGGGAGCACTGGAGAGAGGCCAGGGGACTGCCATGTAGCTCCCATCAACCCTAATGCAGATCACTTGGGAAGTGAGGAAAGTGAGCATTACTGGAGGCTGCCGTTACGGCATTGCACAGCTCTAGCTGGTGCACCCCAGCTCACAGCATCCTTTCCTCCACCTTTGGTTAGTAACACAAGAACTCTGCACTGTTGGACAGCCCACATAGCAGTTTTTCACAACGCTCCAAAAGGCACCAGTCAGAAGTAGCCACCTTCCACTGCAAGCTCCTTCAGCTGCCCTCCAGCCTACTGTGTACGCATGACTGTGACACATGCCAAAACTTGGTCCCAGTTGTCTGGACAGCCAGTCAGGGGCAGCTTTCAATGCATTTGTATATTTTTGGTTGTCACTACAATGGTGTCCCATTGAATGGAGCCTGGCTGGGGCGCCAACAACCTGCCAAAGGAGTCTTTGCAAGAACTCACGCTTAGAAACATCAAAGGGAAAATCCTCGTTTTCACTGAAGTGTGAGAAGAATTATTTCAGGGTGCTATTCTAATATTTATTTATTTTTAATTGTGTTTGAGCCAACTTGGGTTGTGCTGCTGTTGTTTAAGCCAACTTGGTTTGTGCACCAGTAGCACAAACCTAAGAAGAACAAACACATCAGAGAAACTGATAAGAAATGAGAATACTGTTTTGTTGTATGTTAGGGCTTTTTTTTAGCATTACAGTAATTTTCCAGAGCATACTGGATCATTTAAAAAACAGTCTTGGTCTGAAACAGAGAAGCATGAGTGAAATAGGTATCTAAAAACTATGTACACATGTGATGATACTCAAATGTGTATATACAGAACTGTTTGGAAGTCATTTTATGAATTACGGACTACTCTTTAACTGGAAATAAGGCAAACGATGATGACGCGCCTAAAGATTGCAGCAGCGATTTAGCTCTTTAACTGCACCTTGTAATTACCTACTGTGTCACACTCTACAAAGTTCAGGAATAATAGTTTTTACCTCTGAGTCAACTAGTTGTGAATGCCTACAGGACTGGCTCACCAAGAACCAGTGGATATTGCAATCATTCACCTCACTTCTTGGGTTAAGTGAATTTAATACTTACCTTCACTGTGTTCCCCACTCAGTGCACGGTTCCTAACTTGGCTATTTAACGTTGTCTTATTAAAAGAACTGGTACTAAAAGCCATAGACAAGTGTCTCCACTTCTACTGGAATTAAGTTCATCTAAAAGATGGCAATTCTAGGTTCTTTATACCTTCTAGTGACCCCTTGTTCTAGAGCAGAGATGGAGCAAGCACAGAGGCATGAGTAGCCAAGCATACTTAGTATTCAGTCATTACAGATTTTTCTCACTCATACAAAGAAAGCAAACTGCATCCATTTTTGGTCCATTTCTCTCCTTTGTAAGACATCTTCAGCCATTTGGTGTGTAAACTACCTGCTACCACAGATCATTCCATAAGCGGGGACTAAACAAACCTTTTTCCAATTTTCCATGCTATAGAGATTTCAGCAGTGCATGGATTAACCCTTTAGCATGGTTTGACAATGTACTGCAGCTGTCAGAACAACACCCGCTTTTAAATTAGGAATGTAATTTTTGAAAACATATGTATTATTTAGGAATTAAGAGTCCCATTTTCAAAATTTGTAATTCACTGTGCAATAAGGGCTTAATTCCCTTTGCAAATCTACTTCCTACTTAGTACAGTCTTGGAAAAGATAAGACGCCATTCACAGGATGCCCCTCAGCCTGTAGCCATCTTACAGTTGTCTAACTTGAACTTAGATGTTTAACCTCCCTTCTTGGCAGCTGATGGTGAGAAGGAAGTGCTTTCTCATTCCACACATCTCAGATTCCAGATGGGTTGAAGCTGCTTTCAATATGTGCTGATTTGTGCGTGGACTGCTGAAACAAGACTGATTTGATTGCCTCTGACTAGCTGCCTAATTTTACATGACTAAAATTGATTGAGTATGAATACCATCCTTTGGCTTCTTATACGGTCAGAGGAAAGAACACCTCTGCTGTTCTCTAAGTGGCAGCTTAGGTCCATCAGATGGGGGCTCACTCAATCATAGGAGGTTGCCGGCACGGTAGATGCTTACATCTCAGCCAGCCACCATAGGTTCCTTTTATAGTTAATGGAGAGAAACAGGTAGTTGTATGGCACAGTTCTCCCCATCCTGGTATGGATACCTGAAACAGGTCTATCGTCTATGATGTTGATTTAAATATTATGAAATATGAGTCTTACAAGAGAGCAGAGTTCCAGTTACTGCTTCTAACACAGCCAGTCCCTCGATGATGCCCACGGAAATCTGTTCCATTATCTTGTTTATTTCTCTGAGCAAATTTACAGCAGGAAAGGTTCCTGCCACTCTGATCGACAGGGGCATTTTATGCAAGCTGCATTTTCCACCCAAATATTGCATAATATCTAGACTATATTTTGTGGATATCAGTGGTAGCTTCTGTGGCATCTGATTTCAACAGATCACCTGGAAACAGCACCATCCAAAACCACCTGGTGAACACACACCTCACAGTTTTCCCTTGATAACTCTAATACTCACCGTAGTCACAGAGCACTACTAACAATAGATTTGAAAAATCTTTCAACATCTGTTTCATTCTGACCAGTGAGATCCTGGGTCCTTTTACTCCTCATGTCCTTCTTCAGCTCCAAAGTGCAGGCACTTTTTTCCAAGAACACCTGAAAGTAAAAAAATTACAGCTGTATTGACTTTGCTTCATAAAATACAAGAAGGAAGACATCCCACTATTAAGTAAAAAAAATACACTATTAATTAACACTTTTCTCCCATTTACTTAACAATTACTAATACCGTATCAATGGATCTGAACAAGCACAACTACAACTTACTGTACAATAAATTTTCCCTCTTGAAATGTCAGCTCCTGAGCCAGAACAACAAAGACAGGTCACAACAATTTACCTTTGCACTGCAGTAACCGCTGCTGTGCATGTCTTATATTAAGATCAAGACGCATGATAGGGAAATAACAAGTATTTAACATAAAACGTAACTCTGATCTCAGCACATATCAATATTGGAGATTTATTGCTGCTACACAATTCATATCACTTACTGTCAACTGCTTTCAAGCATGAAAAAGACTCAGTAGAAAACTACCATTTTTGTCCTCAAACTGCCCTGTTATTCAGGTCTAGTAATATATTTAGTTATCTTACTAGATTTATAGAAGATGTATAACTACGTTTTATGTCATTCAGACTGATCAGATGGAGAAGGTGCTAACTTCCACTTTTTCCTCCATAATTTTTTAAGTTTACATTCTCTGCAGCCTTGGTTAAGCCAACAAAAAAAATAGAGTTCCTTTTGGCAAGTTTCACCATTTTATGTCCAGGTGCTTTAAACTAGTCTTTATGAGTCTCATAACAATCACATAAAACAGATTGGAAGCACAATGATAGCAGCAAAACCAACAGTTTGCTTCAGAAACAGAAGTAGGGGAGGATCTAAAAAGAGAAGATCTAGCTCAAGAGAACCATTCTCAAGATACAAGAATTGCTCTTTTGTATTGCACAGTAGCGCCAGCAAGTCGGTCTTAGTGTGCTCACCGTCACGCAAACATGCAAGAAAGTTCTTGTTCCGTAAAGTTTACAACCTAATTTTATGAGAGAAATCTGGCACTGGAGCAGGCAGAAGTTATGAGCAAAAAAAACTGCAGAGCATAAAGGTAAAATGTAGGAACGAGGTATGGCAAAGATCAGGTATGTCTTTAGGAATCACAAATGAGATATCTCAACAATTACATTGCTAGACTTGTTGAACTAAGAGACAGCAGACGTGTTATTTGAAAGCTTTTTAAACTGTTCCCTGTGCCAAGCGGCTGGAGAGAATAATTTCTAAGAAAAGACTAACAGCATGGCTTTGCTTAGTAAAAGCCCATTACAATAATAGCTGTACATATCTGAAGGGAATAATCATCATCCGGCCCACGAACTTGACAAGGCTCCAGAAAGAATTAGATAGGGACAGTGATACCACACCCACCCACAATTTCACTTGATACGCCGTAAATTACAGGAAGACAAACCTTATGCCTCAAGACAGGGGCTGGCTGCTAGCTGAGGGCGGCGGAGAGCCAGCCCGCCTCCGGGGTGGCCACTCCGTAACTGCCCCTGGCTACCGGCAGCAGCCACCGCATCGCGTCAGGGACATCGTTCTTTTCATCTATCATTACCGACTATTAATTGGGTAATCGAAACACAGAATCAATGTGGTCCAAGGAAGAAAAAGCAGGTTTCATTTAAAAAAAAAAAAAAAATTGCGATAGATGCCTTGGCCTCTAGCATAACAGCAGAAGTTATGCGGCGTTGCTGTACACTGCTCTGAAATAAAGAGGGGAAAAAATGCTTTGTGGACCACAGCCGTGATAGTGCTGGATGATTTAGCGGGTCTTTTCTGTTTTGAGCTTTCCTAGCTGTGTATTTTTCAAATGGCTTTTACGAATACTTCTTTCAGAGAGTCACATTCAGACAGGTGAAATTCAAATAATCCTAATCTCAGTGTAACAAGCAACACGCTGCAGAGAGGAAACAAAGCTACGGAAGGGAGAACAAATCCTCGGGAAGAAAGAAAAAAGCCTGCATGGGAGAACGCTCTCAGTCAAGATAGTCACCTTGCATCTTAATTTGTGCACGTCGGCCCAACCCAGGCAAAAGCAGCGTGGTTCACGAGACAGGGTGCTGGCGGGAGGCACGGGAGACCCGACTTCTGTTCCTATTCCTGCCATCGCCAGGCTTACGACGTCAGCAAACAGCAGCATTAATCTGCCCCCCTCTTTCCCACCCCATCTCTCCTGCTCTGTATTTACAGCACAGACTTTTCAGGACAGGGACTCTTCCTAACCAAGCCCACGGATGGAGCCCAGAGCCAGGGCCCTGGGGTGTTTCAGCAACACAGACCATTCGTCAGCCCAAAACCTCCTTCCCTCTCACCCTTCCCTCCGCGTTATCTTGGCTCGCTTGGGAAAAGACTCCAGCGTGCAGCACGGGCAACACCCAGGCTAGAACTGGAGTATTTGAAACGGTACCAAAACTAACTTCCAGTTAGTGAGATCAGGTACCTCTGGAAGCCTAGCCCGGGGCTACGGCACTCTCCGCCAGCCTCTGCCACCCCTTGAATTGCTCTTTTGTATTGCACAGTAGCGCCAGCAAGTCGGTCTTAGTGTGCTCACCGTCACGCAAACATGCAAGAAAGTTCTTGTTCCGTAAAGTTTACAACCTAATTTTATGAGAGAAATCTGGCACTGGAGCAGGCAGAAGTTATGAGCAAAAAAAACTGCAGAGCATAAAGGTAAAATGTAGGAACGAGGTATGGCAAAGATCAGGTATGTCTTTAGGAATCACAAATGAGATATCTCAACAATTACATTGCTAGACTTGTTGAACTAAGAGACAGCAGACGTGTTATTTGAAAGCTTTTTAAACTGTTCCCTGTGCCAAGCGGCTGGAGAGAATAATTTCTAAGAAAAGACTAACAGCATGGCTTTGCTTAGTAAAAGCCCATTACAATAATAGCTGTACATATCTGAAGGGAATAATCATCATCCGGCCCACGAACTTGACAAGGCTCCAGAAAGAATTAGATAGGGACAGTGATACCACACCCACCCACAATTTCACTTGATACGCCGTACAATACAGGGACATCGTTCTTTTCATCTATCATTACCGACTATTAATTGGGTAATCGAAACACAGAATCAATGTGGTCCAAGGAAGAAAAAGCAGGTTTCATTTAAAAAAAAAAAAAAAATTGCGATAGATGCCTTGGCCTCTAGCATAACAGCAGAAGTTATGCGGCGTTGCTGTACACTGCTCTGAAATAAAGAGGGGAAAAAATGCTTTGTGGACCACAGCCGTGATAGTGCTGGATGATTTAGCGGGTCTTTTCTGTTTTGAGCTTTCCTAGCTGTGTATTTTTCAAATGGCTTTTACGAATACTTCTTTCAGAGAGTCACATTCAGACAGGTGAAATTCAAATAATCCTAATCTCAGTGTAACAAGCAACACGCTGCAGAGAGGAAACAAAGCTACGGAAGGGAGAACAAATCCTCGGGAAGAAAGAAAAAAGCCTGCATGGGAGAACGCTCTCAGTCAAGATAGTCACCTTGCATCTTAATTTGTGCACGTCGGCCCAACCCAGGCAAAAGCAGCGTGGTTCACGAGACAGGGTGCTGGCGGGAGGCACGGGAGACCCGACTTCTGTTCCTATTCCTGCCATCGCCAGGCTTACGACGTCAGCAAACAGCAGCATTAATCTGCCCCCCTCTTTCCCACCCCATCTCTCCTGCTCTGTATTTACAGCACAGACTTTTCAGGACAGGGACTCTTCCTAACCAAGCCCACGGATGGAGCCCAGAGCCAGGGCCCTGGGGTGTTTCAGCAACACAGACCATTCGTCAGCCCAAAACCTCCTTCCCTCTCACCCTTCCCTCCGCGTTATCTTGGCTCGCTTGGGAAAAGACTCCAGCGTGCAGCACGGGCAACACCCAGGCTAGAACTGGAGTATTTGAAACGGTACCAAAACTAACTTCCAGTTAGTGAGATCAGGTACCTCTGGAAGCCTAGCCCGGGGCTACGGCACTCTCCGCCAGCCTCTGCCACCACTGCGTTGCAGCGGGAGCCCTCCCACCTCACACACAGCGACCTTAGGCTACCAGCTGCAATACAGCCCTACCTTTGAACAAAGCTCTGATTAAAGTGCCTCCATGAGGTCTCCCTGAGCTTTTGTGCCTTTGCTAGCTCAACTCTAATAGCAACTTTGAATGCAAGAACTGCTGGCCCGTTTCTGGTGTAGTATTGCCCCCCTCCTTCTCCTCTTTCCCCACAGGTTTGTTCCTCTCCCCTCCCTCACTTTTCCCTCCTTTCGCCTCACCTTGGTTTTGGACAGGCCTCACGCTGACCTCTACGCTCAGTTCAGACTTCTCCCATCAGTCTTCTCCAAGCCAACTTCTTTCTATATTTCTTCTTATTTTTAGGTCTTCTTCAAAAACCTCCACATCTTTGCCTCCTGTCCCCCCACTCTATTATTTTTTTCACTTTTCATACTCATATGAAATTTTGCTTTCCAAGGCAGACAGTACATCTTAAGTGGTTTCTACTCTAGTGAGATCTTCTACCTCAAGTTCATTAACTTAATGAGATGAAAAATGATCGAACAGAGAAGGCTATCGGACTTTGAATAATTAGCTTTTTTAATTTATTGCTCTTGTGGACAAGCACGGACTGAGGCCCTATTGTGTGAGAGGCAGCAGAAGCACAGCAACATAAAAAGATGCTTTCTTCTTCCAAGAGACGGTGTAATGGGCTGCTTGGAAGCGCAAGACTTCCTCTCCAAAGGGAATTGGAAATGACAGATGAGGAGGGGGTAAGCCATAAAGGGCCTTGGAAATGAAGACCAAGAGGCTTGTGTGTAACACAAATGACACAGGAAAACTTCAAGTCCCTGCTCCGCAACAGATTTCCTGTGGGATCTTGGTCACATCACTTAGTTTTCCTGTGTCATAGCTCTCCGCTGGAAATAGCACCTCACTGTCTGGTACGGGTATTATGAGAATGAATCCACCATGAGCTGCGAGGCTTACGGGCACTACTACAGCGTCAGCAACTGTGCAAGAACCAAAGATGCAATTCACAGCTTTATTTACAGTATTTTTTGCAA